TGGATACAAGAGTACTTACCGCATCTTCCGCGTCTCGGCAGCATCTGGCGAGACAGACATACTCGCTACTTTCCATGGCACGCCTGCATACATTCACTCGCTGTTCTTGACTGAGAACTACGTCATTCTCTGTGTCTGGAACAGTCACATCACATGGGGTGGCGTTTCGCTCATGTACCACAAGAACGTTGTCGACTCTATCGCGCCCTTCGACCCCAACTCCAAAGCAACATGGTACGTTGTCGACCGCCGCGAAGGCAAGGGACTTGTAGCAACGTACGAAAGCATGCCTTTCTTCTGCTTCCACAGCATCAACGCCTGGGAAGAGCCATCAGCTTCTGATCCTAGCAAGACCGACATCATCACCGAGCTCAGCATGTTTGAGAACCTAGACATCGTCAAGCGCTTCTACTACGACAACATCATCTCTTCCATCGACACGCCTGACTATGAGGGTGAGAAGCGCAGGCTGTGCCTTCCGATGCAGGCGCAGTTCCGCCTTCCGAGCGTCAACGCTGGTGTTCCTGCTACGATGCCCGCTGAGCTTCTCTTTCAGGCCGACAAGTTCAAGTCGATGGAGCTGCCCACGCTGAACCCGGCATACCTGACCAAGCGCCATCGCTACACATATGGATGTGCCGACCGTCTCCGGTCTTCGTTCTTCGACGGCCTTGTCAAGTTTGACAACAAGACTCAGGAAGCCATCTACTGGGAAGTTGATGGTCACACGCCTGGCGAAGCGATCTTCATCGCTGACCCTGAAGGTGTGGAAGAAGACGATGGCATACTGTTGAGTGTGGTCTTGGACGGCTATGCGGAGAAGAGCTACTTGCTCGTGCTCAACGCGAAGGACTTGACGGAGATGGGAAGAGCTGAGATGGCGGGGCCGATGAGCTTTGGGTTTCATGGGACGTTTAAGGAGACGTATAAGACATATCGAGGGGATGTTTGAGCTGGAGAATTACAACACAACGATAGCCTGCTCTCCATTCCTTTCGCTGACACCCGTTGACGTTGAAAGATTTCGGTTACTGTCATAGTTATCTAACTTGGTCGTCGACGACGTAGACACATTGTCTATCACATACATATTATCCTTTTATGAACCCGACCAGCTCATCAGTCATACCTATTTCAGGCATACTTGCTTCGTTTACTCATGGGTCGACCCCGGTCTTGAACAGTCATTCGCTCATCAATCATCAAGCCGACATGATTGCGACAATGTTAGACAAGTGTCAATGCGATTAAACCGGCTCATTAGGCGCACATCGAGTCCAACAATATCTTGATTCATCCTACTCTACCGCTTGATGGTAGGTCCGGAGACAAAGGGTACGTGACGAACCTTCTGTATTTGTCAAGCTACCTGAACATTCCGCTATCTCCTTTCCATGCAAAACTATGTCGACCCAAAAGCTCCCCGTTGTAAATGGGCTCTGGTATGTCCTCTGGTTGAGCTATCCGTTCTTTGAATGGTTTGACATTGGTAAATCGTTTCGCTTCTTCGACGTATCCCTCGACGCAGATGACGTAGCTTTTGTCGATTTCCATATCCTTGGTACGTAGTTTGCACCCTTTGATTACACCACCCCACACCTGTGAGTCCTCGCCATTCTTTGCCCAAGGGTTTGTGCTCGTGTATATCAACAAATAGCACCGACTGTCACAATCTTGATTCTTTTGCAGGTGGCTGCAGCGTGACTTCTTGTCAACCTCGCCGAATTCCATGAAAGGGATGGGCGATGTCGTCTCTGTAGGATGTTCCACAATCGATTGGTCTGGTTGTAATGCACGCGAGTTCTTCGTAGCAGGTGGGCATATCAGCGCTCTGATAGTAGGACCTTTGCTTTCGTGCGCGGAGGAGGCGCTAGATACGGGCCGCGTTGGCAAGCAAGGTATTGTAAAATCGTTTGAACGGCTCATATCACTGGGTCGATTCCGATGGGACTTGTAGTTCTGAAGCGATGATTGGTATGGTAGAATTGGAGTGAGAGTAGCAAAGCCGCTGAGAGTTCGCGGAGAGATAGAAATGGATGTTGTTATGAGGAGGAAATTGAAAGAGGGGCGTAGTCTTGAGGGCCGCTTCTGTACTCATCATACGAGTGATTTGAGTCACAAAAGTACGTACCTGTCCCAGAATTTGTGTGCAGAGTCATGTTGAGACGGCATAACAGTGACTCGATCAACGTGACTTTCAAACTCAGTATGGTAACTCTAGTTGCAGTCGTCAAAGGAAAAGGCGAACAACGTGAGGATAAAAGAATTAACCGACGGGAGATTTGGTGTTAAGGTTGCTCGCTACCGGTGTGAAGTTGCTGTATTGATGTTGCTGTGACTCCGAATCGCGCACTGTCTTTCTGTTGACCATGACGCCAATGCGACAACGAGTTGTGGTCATACTAATACGTTGACCTAACTTTGGCCGCAAAAAAAGCTACGAGGTCAGACACAGAATCTATAGCTGATTGTATACGCCCGTTATGTTATTTGGTCCGCTAGTACTCCGATTTCTAACATCTTCGCGGATAGAGGCACGTGCGCAGCGTCGACCGTAGTTGAGTTGGCACAACCACGGATGTGCTTACAGTATTCCTAATGAAGAGCAGCATCCTGGAACAGATGCTATATATTGTGTGTTCGTATTCCTCGAATTTCTGACCTTCTCATCATCGTCTCTTTTCCCGGAAACTCAAAATGCCTACTCCTCGCAACCACACCCACATACTCAGATTAGAAGCCGACGGCCTCCAAGATGACTACTACAAACAACACGAAGCCTCCTGCGACATCTGCTTCAACGACGAGACATCCGATTGCGGGCTCGATGAGGCGTCAGCAACAGTCTCAAACAGCGAAGCCAACCTCCGCGCTATATCGCCAACATCAATCATTCGCACCGCCGTTTGCCGACATGTCTTCCACGAGAGGTGTCTCGTAAAGTGGCTCCAGGAGCAAAGGGAACATCGTCTTCATGGCAACTGCCCAATGTGCCGCGGCTTGCTCGTCTTCAATCCAAAGGCTATTGCGTGTGCGCGAACTTCGGAAGCCCATAGTTCATCATCGCCATCCCATAGTACTACGATGACCCAGACGCAATCTAGAGACGACGAGCCAACCCCGCCCCCCGCATTTAATACGACGCATACGCCAGGAGATGCTCTCGAACGAGAAGGATCGCAACTTGAAAGAGCAAACGCTGTTGCTCGACAGCGCGTGATCTATGAATTAATTACCAGATTGCAACAAACTCTCCCGAAAATTGAATGAAGGGCTCGATCGATTAAGGTCGAGTCGGAGGACTCTGTTGCAAGAAGAGCTGCTTCGTGCGGGAGAAGAGCGGTGTCGGTCAGGAGAAGAGCACGTTCATTTCTTAGAAGAGCAGCGTACCTTGGAGTTACAAAAGGCAGGGATAAAGCCTCGATCCTGATACGATGGAGGCCGAAGACGACGCTTGAATTGTACCTTTATGATGGGAGACCCTTTGTTTTGTGATCAATTGAACTCTTCTCTCACTTTTCTTGGAGCTGTTATGGTTAGAAATTAGATCGTCATGACTTTCTTGGTGCTCGCGTTATTGCCAGAAGGTTTGGCGCAAGTGAAATGGTGTCGAAGGGTACAGTCGCAGAGGTGCTAATCACTGTACATCAGCTCCGTCAAGGTTGGCTCCTGAGCACAACCCTTCTTTCTACTCAATGGTTAGCTACGATCACTTTACTCTCAACTCAAATTCCTGACACACCACGCCGCGCACATCTCAACCTAAAGGCTCCTTAGTATGGCCAACAACATCACAATTGATGCGCGCCTTGACGCGTTCTTCGACGCAAGTGTGGACAATCTCAAAGACGACCACTATGTTGAGCATGGCAGCGTATGCGACATTTGCAGGGCTGATGACATGGCCGATCCACCGGAAATTATCGAGCACGCATCCTCCATCACGCGCACTGGTGTAGTCCAGACGAAAACCTGTCCCTTACCCCACATTTTCCACAAGCTCTGCCTATACGCCTGGATGCACGCAAAGCTGCGCAGAAACGCAAATGCAACCTGCCCGATGTGTCGCACCACGCTCATCGTTTCTAGTCCCGGTCCATGGAGGGAGTTGTTCTTGGAAGAATCAGAATCACTCGCTAGACAAATCAACGAACTATTTGAGATGTTGGCAATTCTTAGAGAGCAAAACGAGGCAGAAATGATTCAAATGAACGAAGCCAGGACAGCTCTGAATAGATTCAGGGCAGGAAGGGATGAGACTGAATGACCGGTTTGCGATGCGGAGCGTTATTGTGGACAACACCGCGCATGCGCAGCAAATTAAAGTCCACTATCTAATAGCCTTGTCAATATCAGCAGCGCTGGCAGCTATTGTGACCCTGTGCTGAACATGCCTGTTCAAGTGGTCGCGGGTCATCGCCAGACAGTTTTCTGACCATAGGTCTTTGTCGCAGTCCTGTCTTGGATTCTGGTACAAGAAGGCAAAACTTCCAAGACTAGAAAATATCATTCTGCCATTCCCACTTGGTCATGTTGTCTTGACAAGCTTGTGATCGTCCGGTTGCTTGGCGGTTTCTTATGTCTCGTGCATTCCGAAGTGTCCCGATTTCAGCCGCCGACCGCCTCCGAAAGTCCGAGTTGTACCCGATTCGCCACATGTGCAATGCTTTACTCAGGCTAGATCATGAAAACATGCTTCTTGACCAATGATCGTAATTACAGTCTTGAAAATGCAAGACTGCAGTGGGTCCTTCTTATCAAGGTATGCAGTCTTTCGGTATGAGGTTTTCGGTGATGACTCGGCGGAACAATTGTTGGGAGCGATGCGTTTCGACTTTGCGATAGGAGAAGTATATAGTGAGGCGCCAGACCGACAGTTCGGGGGAGCGTATCTGTCAAAGCAAGCGAACGTTAGCAATCATTCTCTCTCTCGTTCCGAACCTACAAGTCTCCAATTCCTTCAAATATCCAATCTCACACTCAATCCCAATACCCTCAACATGGTGGCGCAAACATCCAAGCCATCGAGCCGCAGCTCTTCCGTGACGGCGCCAGTTGAACGCTCATCCTCACCGAGCATGCATCATGCACTTGCGACTTCTTCGTCTCTGAAGTCGATGCTCAAGAAGCCCTTCCAGGGCTGGTCCAAGGATCTCCTTCGCGCGAGGGACGACGACGACGATGACTACAACTTTTCGAGTGGTATGCGCCGTGGAGCTCAATACTACCAGAACGACGCCTGAGATGGCTGGGAATACTATGATCCGCGACTGATGGAGGATGAGGCCGATGCCACACTACGGTCTCCCAAACGACCTCGAGCCCAATACCTATGCGCGTCGACGGGGTGGTAATATCGAAGGGGCACGTGAAGGCAGAGTGGTACACCGTGTGACGGTGGTGGTGACTCGGGGTTTTGGTGGGCTGGAAGAGCTGGTCACATCCGGCGGGTATGGCTGAGACGGTTGTGTGGCAGGCCTGGCGTTTGTGCTGCGTTGTATTGCTTTTGCGAGCGCGATACCCTTGATTGTTCCCTTAATTTACACAATTTGTAATGCACACTTAGTTCCACAATGCGCGTTATCGTACGAAGGGTTGGATGTGTTGTGTGACGATGCACACGACCAGAAAGCTCGTGAAGACGCCTGCCCACCATTCTGACAATCCTGAGCTCGTGTTATGTCAGCAGCGCTTGACGCATCCGCTTCTCCCACTTCATCCCAGAACTCCACCTCGCAAAATCTCTCCCAAATCGCGCACTTTGGAAATTGCGGCCTTCCCGAACAACTAGAGCTTGCATAGGGCTGGCATACAAATGTGCCCTCGCTTGCGGTCCCGTAAGGTCGCTACCCATGGACTGGCTCAGAGAGCGCCGCACCGAAACATGCATGGGCCATGCTGCAAGCCACAAACTCTCCCGTCTGTCAAGCCTAGCTCATACACGAATCATCACCATTGCATCGAGGTCACGCGTGAAGACGAAGTGTCTTTGAAAATGGCAAGCATACAACAGCAGACCATCTTACTGACTGAGTACGAGAATTTGGCAGCTCTAACTCAAGGCTTCGCGTGCGCATCACCAAGCAATATCGACGTCACTCCACAGCATACTCGGCTTGACTCGACGAAAATTGCGGAGGATTTGCGCGCAATTTCTTCCAGGCAACAGTCGCACGAATAGACGCAGCTAGACCATATGAGATGCCGGTGTGCCTAGAAAAGCGGCTTGGTGGTCTTTAGGGGGCCTGCGCCGCCCGGTTAGGCGTGCCGCATCATGCGCTGTCAGTTAAGCGATCAGCCTCCGAATCTCCCCAATAAGTAGACTAGATATCCCATACTCGACGAACCTTTTCTTCATCGCCAAGCATCACTCGTTACTGCCTGTCGTTCGTTGCCAATCTTTTTCAAGACTCTAATCTAATACTTGTTACTATACCCCACATTGCTCGTCTCAATCAACACCGCAAGATGTCTAAGATCCTCTCCGTGGCGCTTTTCGCCTCTTACGCTGCGGCTCAAACGACCGCTCAGGTCTGGATGCCCGGTCTAGGCGATATGGGCATTTCGTACGAGGGTTCTGTGGTCAGCGTTGACAACGACCGCACTATCATGTCTGTGGCTGTGCAGGGTATTACCCTCGACGACTCACTGGTGCGTAACAACGAGTTGAAATCATCGATAACATTCACTGATCTGTTGCGACTAGGCCGATGTCCCTTCGACCATCACTGTCGGAGGCAACACCTACTATGAATATGACGCCTCCAATGACCACTACGGCGTGACGGTGACCGTCTCCGGCGCATGCTCGCGCCAGAACACCGACGAAGCGGAGGCAACCTGCACCCAAACTACCATTGGCCTCGAATCCGAAATGAGCTCTCTATGCGCTGACCCAGAATACGCTTCCTCCCTCTGCCCGGACGGTGTGGATGCCGCTCTCTCCTTCAGTACAGTGTTCCCCGAAGGCTACTTCGACCTGTTCGCCGTCGTCATCACCGAGGGCGGTGACTCCCTTCCCAGTGCCACAGCGGCCGCATCAGTATCGGCCGGCAGCGCTTCCGTAACAGCGTCCCGTTCCACTGTCACATCCGCAGCTTCTGGATCTGCCACTGCTACCAAATCCGACTCTGACGCAGCGGCAAGCACTGGCTCGGAACCTGCTGCTAGCTCTGGAGCTTCTGCTACCTCCAGCGGTCCTGAGGAAGTAGCCACTGGCGCTGCCCACATGGTTCAAGTCCCAGCTCTGGCTGGTCTTGGTGCCGCTGTTGCCGCTTTCTTCTTGTAAAGGTTTAGTAGCGAGATAGTCGCTTTCATCTGCGCATTTCGAACGAGTTCTTGCTTAGCGAATACCCTTTATGCATCTACGTATCGTCATTCAATACTTATGCTTATAATACCACTCTGATTTATATCCTCACTTCTTGTATCACTAATATACAGATGCTGTCTAGCAAGTTGGCTTTGGAGGCTTTGGGGGCTTCGTTACGCACACCATTCTCTCCCCCTTCTTACCAAAGCATATCTTTCCTTTTCCCGTTTCATTGTCAAAGCAGCTCTTTCCTTCAACATCCTTCAAGACTGGACCAGTGTATACGTGTCCCTCGCAGTCTTCCTCATCGCACGTGAATCTTTTCACATCCCCACCCTTCTCGAGAAAGTAACAACCTTCCTTACACTGATACTCCTCCTCAACATGCTGACACCTCCTACTCCATGGGAACAATGCACTTTGTATGACGACAACCTTCGTGGGCAGGTTTTTGATGTCATCGAGTACGAAATTATCGAGATTGGGATTGTTATCGGATGCAGACAGTTTGTGACCGGAAGCCACAAGGTTTTTCTTTGTGGATGGTTTGTTGTTGAATATGCTGGGCAACCAGCGCGACGGTGGTCTAGGTGGTTCTTTGACTGTCAGGGTGTACATCGCGTCGCTCCGGCCGAACTCTCCTAGATAATCAAAGGCACCCGACGCCCCCGACATTGCCGAATTTGCGTGTAGTTTGACTGACTACGAGAGTGTATGAGCGATCAAAAGAGACTGGAAGCTTTGCGCGAGACAGTGGCGCAATATCGGCAGATCTGGTACGGAGAATGATAGGGAAGAAGCGGCTGTGTGAATGTGTGCGGTTTATAAACAATGACTTGGTGGTCAGTGTTCGCATGTGACTCAGGGTGTGAATCACGGTGTGAAGAGCGCTATGGGCGACAAACGAACGCGTTGTGTAAGACAATGGGAATTGATCGATTGATGTTTGGTGCTGCGCTAGCGGTACCGTGAATATTCCGCTTGCGCATTCACAACCCTCCGGGATATCGGGTTGTAAAAGGTTTTGGCATGAACAACCAAAATCCGTCCCAACTAAAACGAGTTCGCCTTCTTCAACCGGTCGCTCTCCCTTTCCTCCCTCACATGCTCATCATAGCCCTCGATACACCTCAGCCTTTCCGTAGGGCTCAAATAAACCATCCCACCATCCTTGCACCAACCCTCCCAAATCTTAGGCCGTCCCCTTTTCTCTCTGCGTACAATTTCTCCTCCAATATCCACCTCTTCGTTCTCCATGATGCTCCCCACTGCCCATTCTATAACGTAGTGCTCCCTCAGATACTCTGCTTTGCATTCGCGGCCCGAGGCTAGGCAGCTGCAGCGAATGCTTTTGGGGATTGCATCGCAGTCGACATCGAACGTGATGGTTTCGTTGATGCCAATCAGATCGGCGTGTGAGAAGCTGGAGTCGGAGAAGTATTGTTGTGACGTTGCGGGTGCGACGAGTGCGGTGATGCGGAACGTTGGATTCTCTGGCGTGGGTCTGAAGTAGGCCATGAGCGTGCTGAAGATGCCTGACATGGTGGATGGTATGTGGGTGTGGGCGCGGGTGTGGTTTGGATGCGCTTGTGATTTAGAGGTGACTTCTGGAATTTTGCTTGAGTAGGCTTAGTATTTGGAAATAAGACTGCTAAAAGAAAGTGATTACCGAAGACGTGTTCTTTTATGAGATTATCCCATGTGTTGACTCAAATGCACAACCATGGTTCCCATTCTCTAGCGAAGACCCTTGATAGCGAGCCACTCACAGATCTCGTAATGCTTAATCGTACCAACACCCAAAACCTGAATCTGTGCCATCATGTGCTAAATCTCATTACGTGTATCCCACTCGTAGAGCTTAACCCCGGTCAGAGTGAACCAGCCCTAATAGGGGAAAAGGATTGGACAGGCCTAGAGCCTACATCGACCTTCATTACCCACTTCGCATGTTACCATGTTGATGTAAGCTGCATCCCTGTCCAGGTTTTCCTAGGTTGACGTGCTAGAGAAGATGCGACCAAGGTTTGTGCGACGCTGCCAGTCGAATATTACTGATGCGCTGAAAGAGCGGATGCCGACGTCTCGAAATCCAGCACAGGAGTCGTGGGCCGCGCAATACGCTGCAGTTCGGCGACGCTTCGCGAGATACCCATCGGTACACCACGTACAACTTTGTTGGCCGGGCTACTGAACCACGCAGCGTGTGTAGTTGTCGCGTATGCTGGAACCTGTTCAACTTCCGATTTTGCAGGTCTGGCCGTAGGAGGCTGACGGGAGGATGGGATAGGAGTCGACACAAGATCGTCTCTACCACCGAAGAGCGAGTTGAATATTATGCTCGGGCCTAGCGACTTGAAAGTGCTTCTCGTGCGGCGCATGGAAGACGGGTTCATCGGCTCTAATGTGGTATGCTTGTTGTCGCCTAGGCGGTCTATTGGGGGTTTCGAGAGCTTTCGCTTGTCTGAATTCTCTGCGGCGTGTTCCGTAACGTTTTCGATCTCTGAGGTAGCAGCTTCGGGCTCATGTGGGCGTGACTCCTGTTCCGGAACTGCGGGTATATCGCTCGCGCAACCAGAGGATGAAGGGCAGGCGGTACTGCAAAGAGCGCTTTTGGAAACAACACATTGAGAGCTCGATACTGCAGAGACTTTCGGTAGTTCTACACTCATCGAAGGGGTCGTGGCCATCGTAGACGATTCGGGGAATAGGCCATCACGACTTGAGACTTCAGAGCATACTGTCGACGATCTTCTGCTTTCACACGATTCTTTTGGTTCTTCTGTATCGAAGGAGGGTTCGAGGGTAGGCGGTGTATTGGATGGCCAGTGTCGCTTCTGCTTCGGAGCAGTGTTTGATCGCTTCGGTCGAGACTTTGTCGCAAAGACATGGGACTTTTTCACCCTGCGTGGCATTTTGAGAACGGGGTCG